ATCTCAGAAACCTCCGCTTTTCAGACGTATTTACGGGACATATGAGTTGTTAAACCTGACTCAAACCTGACTTTTCACAGTTCATTGCAAATAAAAATAACGTGAAAATAACGTACAACTACGTAGATGTACGTGGATGATGTACTCCTCTTGCAGTATTTCAGATCATCGAACTCCTTTTCTCCAATCTAAGAAATGAGTCGACTCTTTAAGCAAACTTCTAAACATGTGTCTAAAGTCACTTCCGCCTAACTGGAACTCCTATTAAAGGAAAATGAAACTCCTACGCGAGCCTGCGTCTGCGCAAGATAGTCGCGATCGCTGGCCATGAGATCGTAGTTCTGAAGTCGTGAACGAGTCACCAGTGGTCACGGTCGTTACGGTCGTTACGTATTACATTGCAAAGGCTTACCGGGGTTCTTTTGTACTGTATTGTGCATAAATTTGTTCATTCTTTGTTCTGTGCTTTTGTTGTGCAGTGGTAGATTGCGTTGCAAAATAGCAGCACAGTTGGGTTCAAAACGATCGCAATCCCCTATCGTCTGCAAATGGATCTAAACGTAAGTGCAATATCCGTAATCTTTAACTGGTGCGATTTCGGCGTGAATTTCATCTGCATGCAAAGAAGAACTTAGCTCCTTTGATTCACCAGCTTTTAACGAGATAACCTTGCTAGAAATATCAATTAAGAAGGATCGTTATATAAAAACAAATATCCAGCTGTATACGATCTTTAACTTTTGGTGTTTTATAATAGACAAATATCGATTTTCCAGACGTCTATTTTTGGTTTGGTGCCCCCGGGCCCTGGCCTTTGACCTCACTTTAAAACTTTTTCAAAAATACAGCGAAAACCGCTGTTACACTACTTTTAACATCCACGTGCACATGTTTTTGGATTCAAATAGCAGCTTTTCAGGAGAAAACGACTCAAACGAACGTCTTACGAGTTAACATAATGCATGTTACAACCTCGTGCAAGTTATATTACGCAAGCTTATATTGGCACTTCTTTATGGGCGTATAGGGTGTGCGTTGGACGCAGATTTCCTTGTTGTTTTTTTAATATTGTTTTATTTCTTTTCTTGGACAATGCTTTGTTTGCAGGCCACGAGCTGGACAGTGTAGGCATGGGAGCCTCGTTTGAATAAATCTTTCTTGATTTAAGATTCTGTTGTCTATAGGCTTCATATTAAAGAAAACAGGCTTTGCATTTTAAATTAGATCACTCGACTTAACACAAGCATTTAAATCATAAGATTTTATCCACACAGAAAAAAAAAATTAACAAACAAATTAATGCAAATCTGTATAATTAAACTACCAACAACAGTATATTTTGTTGATCAACAGCACTTTCTCCAGCTAGAAGAGCTAACGAAATAATTTGACATCAGGAATAATAAAGTGTTCATTTGTGTATCTTCCACAAATCCATCATATTCAGAATGTCTTTGATTTATTTAAGGGTACCGACTCATCATCAGCCTCACAGTTTGTGAGTAACGATCACTTAAAACAGATGGATGATGATGTTCTCTTTCACATTGGAATCAGAGTTGGTGATCTTGACATTAAAAAAGTATTTGGTGATGTAAAGGTAAAGGTATTTTTTTCCTTAAGAGGTACTATTTTTTTGATAAATAATAATAATTTTAATAATAAAAGTGAAAAAAATAATAATAACATCCTTTGTTTACCCTCGGCAGTATTGATAGCACTGATACTAGTGACTGGACGGGCCAAGCAAATACCTGAAACAAATACTTTAAATGAAACTTAACAGCGGGGTTAAGAATCCCAGTCAGTTATTTGTAAACATGGTTTAGGATTTTAACTCGGGACTGCTATGAACAAATCCAGCTAGCGGTAAGCGTGGGACTTGTGATTCAGAGGAGTTTAATTTTCTGATACGCCATTCCTGTTTCAGTTTGTGTGCATGGGAGGTAGCACAAGTCGCATTAAAGAATTTGCTAAGTTTATACAGAATGAACTTAAAGATTACTTGAAAGCAGATCAAGAACCGAGCAACCTGTCAAAGTCTGACCGCTATGTCTTGTACAAAGTTGGACCAGTTTTAGCTGTAAATGTAAGTCACTTTAAATAGCATCTAGCATTTTCCATGTAGCCGTTGAGTTTATGAAACATCAGCTTGGCATCTCGACTTGCCTTTATAACAGTCCTGACTAACTGTGCTTCATGTATTTTTCTGCCTGATTTCTTTTATTATATTCTGACCCACAAAGCATGGCATTGGAGTTCCCTCTTTGATGGTTATCATGCATGAAACTCTCAAACTGTTGCATTATGCAGAAGCTGAAGACGTCAGGTTCTTTCGTATTGGCACATCAGGAGGCCTAGGTATGACGATGGTATCATTATTTTACTCCATATACATCTGTTTTGGAAAATGTTCCTGTGTGTTAAATAATTTTAGATGTGTTGTGTTCAGTATGAATTGTTGTGCCTTGTTCTTTGAAGGGTTTAATTTTACTTCTTTCATGGTGGATGCTTACACCCCTGGAGGCTTACTGTTCACATGTAAAGAGGACAAAATACAGTTGTCCTCTTATCTGCGACATTGCCATTTACCGTTTACCTCTCCCCGAGGGTGTGGGGTGGGGAGGGGGAGACTGGAGGTGTACCTTTTACACTATGTCAGGTGCTGTAAGTGATATTGGGTGCATTGATCAGTCTCTTCTGTTTTTTCCCCAAGGTTTGGAGCCTGGAACAGTTGTCATAACAACAAGAGCAGTCAATGCTCTTTTGGAACCATTCAGTGAGCAGGTACTGTGACTAGATACAAAATTGCTGCTCTTATGAAATTTAAAAAGTGGGCATTTGCTCACATTTGGCTCCCACTCAAAGCAAAGGGTATAAGTGTTCAAATCAGTGTAAATGTATTGAAGATAAAAATGTAATATTGTATAGTTTATATTGGAAGTGCATGGTCTAGTTAAGTTTACAGGCCCTCCACCCTACTCAAAGAATTTCAGACAAATAATACAACATCCAAAAACCCTCANCTGTGTGTTAAATAATTTTAGATGTGTTGTGTTCAGTATGAATTGTTGTGCCTTGTTCTTTGAAGGGTTTAATTTTACTTCTTTCATGGTGGATGCTTACACCCCTGGAGGCTTACTGTTCACATGTAAAGAGGACAAAATACAGTTGTCCTCTTATCTGCGACATTGCCATTTACCGTTTACCTCTCCCCGAGGGTGTGGGGTGGGGAGGGGGAGACTGGAGGTGTACCTTTTACACTATGTCAGGTGCTGTAAGTGATATTGGGTGCATTGATCAGTCTCTTCTGTTTTTTCCCCAAGGTTTGGAGCCTGGAACAGTTGTCATAACAACAAGAGCAGTCAATGCTCTTTTGGAACCATTCAGTGAGCAGGTACTGTGACTAGATACAAAATTGCTGCTCTTATGAAATTTAAAAAGTGGGCATTTGCTCACATTTGGCTCCCACTCAAAGCAAAGGGTATAAGTGTTCAAATCAGTGTAAATGTATTGAAGATAAAAATGTAATATTGTATAGTTTATATTGGAAGTGCATGGTCTAGTTAAGTTTACAGGCCCTCCACCCTACTCAAAGAATTTCAGACAAATAATACAACATCCAAAAACCCTCAGGGGTTGAATCAAACCCAGGGCTGCTGGAATGTGAATCCCATGGGTTTAACATCTCCTTGTTTGTACCCTTCTTTATATGGAAATTCCATTGATATTAACTTTAACGTGGAACAATTATAGAGAAATAGCCGCAACCATAAAAAGAGAAAGAGAAAGTTGAAGACAGAGCGGTTCGATTTTCAATTCGATTTTTCATGGTTATTCAATTTGCTTCCATGTATTGTAGTAACTTTCCATTAACTGCACGGGCTATTTCTGCCTTTTTCATTATTACCATTCATCAAGGGCTATTTTAACCACTCTTATTGGCCTGAAAGTAGACTGGCCGTTCACAGTCCTCACCCCGGGGATGAATATCAAATGTACGTAGGGGACACGGGACGGTTTAAGACAGGGGCACCCAACGGCAATTTTCGGGAAAATATCTGTTCGGAAGACGATTTGAGATCTAGAATTTTCGGATTATTTGTTGTAAAATTTCTTGCTTGCCTGCCTCTCCTAGGATTTTCGAACATCTAAAAAATTGTATAATTGCCCATTTTTAACGGATTTTGACCCTAAAAAAGGCCACCTAGAATTTTCGTAAGCCTTTTCCTGCCTGAAGTTTTCGAGAAGGTAAGTTTTTATCCCTATAATTTTCGGATCACTAGACTTTCAGCTAGGAAATCCGAACAGATGAAAAGTTTTTAGGGGATAAAAATATGCCTATATCTACCGTTTGAATACTTAAATACGTTCAACAATGCTATGTTAAGAGGTTTTGAACTATATCCTCGTTGGGTGCCCCTGTTAAGAGGAGGCTAGCCTCCCTCTCCCTACTACTTCAGTCTTCTTTTGGTCCTTTTCTCGTACTTCATTACTATTTCTTACCAAATAAACTTGCATTGACACTGTCGTTTTCTGTCATTTTTCAGGTGATCTTAGGCAAGGTGGTGAAATTTCCAACCCCGCTGGATGAACAGCTTCAGAAAGAGTTATTAGATTGCAGTGGTGATATATTGACAGCTGTGGGTGATACAATGTGCACACATGACTTTTATGAAGGTGAGCTGAAAGGGAGGCATTTATAGACCGTGAGCGGTCGTCCTTCTTTGCTCAATGCCACTAGCCCCGCTCTCGTTTCTCGCGGCTTCTCACCCTTTGCAAAAAAGAAAAATAAGAGACTGCCTGTTGTCTTAGGCTATGTAAATCATACCGGATAGCTGGCTTCTCTTCACACTGACTAAAATTGTTGTGGCGGCGCGATTTCTGTAACGGAGCGAAGCTGCACCGTGCCCATCTCTAAAGCGGAGAGTCGCATGTGTTCATACTATACCTAGGGCATTCATTGATCAGGGGCATGCTTACCATTTACACAAACTACCTGCGTGGAAATCTTGTAATTTAAAGTGGTGGGATAGCCTGCGAAAACGTCCGTTTATCCTCGCTCTTCGCCGCTGGGGACGTTTCGCGCGGAGGAACGTCGGCGAAGAGCGAGGAGACAGCTTAGGAGGAACGGATGTTTTCGCAGGCTAGTGGTGGGAGAACAAACCGCCACAAAGTATATCCAAATTTGCCGAACAGACTAGAAAGACTTAGAAAATTGCGTCGCCTCAAATCACAGCCAAATTTTCTGAACCTTCCACAACGGAATGTCGCGAACCATTTGATTTTCCAACAGGAATTTCCAGTTTTCCCCTGTAAATGGTAAGTACCCCAGATTCACAAACCATCGTACAAAGTAATTTGTAATACATATTTATATCCGCGTCAGGACCAAAACATGTCAAAACAAAAACCAATACTGAAAACAAAGCAAGTACGAGGTCCGGGCAATCTGCGCGCCATGGGAAAAAATAAAGTTTTGTGAAAGTGTACATACAAGAAAAATGTTTCTTGCTTGGTTCCCTATGCGTATGTGAGGTATTTCTGCTGGAATATGTACAGAGCTTGTTTACCATTTATAAAAGAAAAAAATCCGGAAATTTTGGTTGGGAATTTTCGGTCGCTAAGAACGGTACGCGTCCTTTATTACCATTTGCCTAAAATTTCCTGATTGTCGCGCCGCGCTATATAGACTGGATGTTAGTTACAACTTGAAACTGGTACGAAACTCAAGAAATTTGTAAATGGTAAGCGAATTTCCATTCGGAAAGTCCCAATCGTCCCAATTTTATAAATTAATAAAGGTTCTTCTTCTTCAAAATCTTTTAATCTTTTAATTGAAAATAGTTTTCTATTTATATTATTACCTGTATTAGTGTAATGTTTATATGTTTAGTGTGTTTTTGTGCGTTGTTGCTCAGGGCTCCCATTGATAACAGACAGCTTTTTGCGTCTGAAGGGGCTACCCTGAGCGGTATAAATTAATAAAGGTTCTTCCTCTTCTTCTTCTTCTTCAATCGGGAAAACGGGACTACCTTTTCAGAATTTCCGTTTGTTCCTGGAATTTTCCAGTGCGACGAACCAAAAAAACGTTTACCATTTACATCCCAACCGGAGTTTCCGGAAATTTGTGGTAAATGGTAAACAACCAGAATTACGGAGTCTTGGTCGACTTTCAGTGATTAAGGCACTCCTTTACGGCTTAGGGTTAAGCACTCATTTTACGGATTAGGATTACAGACTAGGGTTAAGCGCTGATTAGGGTTAATCACTCATTTACAACGGTTAGCTTTCGGTTATTTCTTCCGTAATACTGCTTTTTCGATTTTCTTTGTAATTTCGTTCGCATGGCGTGCTAAGTATGATATAGTGAGTACAGCAGTTTGTACATGGTTCGATTTTAAACAGGGGCACCCAAGGTGAATTTTCGGAAAATATCTGTTCGGAAGACGATTTGAGATCTAGAATTTTCGGAACATTTGTTGTAAAATGTCTGCATGGCTTGCCTGCCTCTCCTAGGATTTTAAAACATATAAAAAAGGTAAAATTGCCCATTTTAAACGGTTTTTTTACGCTAAAAAGGTCACCTAGAATTTTCGGGAGCCTTTTATCCGGCTGAAATTTTCGAACAGGTAAGTTTTGATCCCTAAAATTTTCAGATCACTAGACTTTCAGCTAGGAAATCCGAACAGATGAAAAATTTTTAGGAGATAAAAATATGTCTATATCTACCGTTTAAATACTAAAATACGTTTATCAATGCTATGTTTAAGTAGTTTTGAACTATATTCTCGTTGGGTACCCAGGGCTGTTCTAAAGCCGTTGCGGAGCGGTTATGAGGGAGTTTAAGATACCAAGACCGCGAAGCCGGCGCAGGAAAGTGTCACTAAACAAGTGTTTTTGTGTTCTTTCAAAATTTGTATCACGATTATTCCTAATTTCCTACTTTTCCAAATGTAGGTGAACGCTTCCAGAGTTGAATTCTTAAGAACCACAATTTAGAGAGAGAAAGGGAAATTATAGCTATCGTTTGTTTGCTTGCTCCTAAAACGTAAAGTTAAGAAATTTCGCGTTGTAGTTGTGAAATGATGGCAACGAAATGTACTGAAAAATAGTCTGGCTCTCGTTCCATTTTTCGCGAGGCCAAAACCGAAAATCCCGTTCCTCGTCGTTCCTCTGTCTTTCTTTTTGGTTTGTGGCTTAAAGAAATAGGAATAGTACTGTTGAAACGCACTTGTTTCGTTTTATAGCTTAAAGAACGTGGAATGTTATACTTTTGCTCAGCGCTTGTTTCGCTCTAGGGCTTATAGAACGAGGAATATTTGATTTGCAGCGGGCTTGTTTCGGTTTACGGCTTATAGAACGAGGAATATTATTGTTGGAGCGTACTTGTTCTGCTTTATGGCTTATATAACGAGGAATTTACGACCGTATCTAGACTTGCTACAAGTCGACCTCTTGTCGAGCGGAGCGAGCGTTGTTTGTCCGCGAAGCGGCCGACCGCGAGCGACGAAGTCGCGAGAGGTGTAGACCGTATCAATCAAGCATACGGACCGTTCGAAACGTAACACACTGTGCCCTGATATAATAATCAGATGAACGCTTCGTATGTACTCAGAATATAGACTGTTAGCAATGCAGACGATTTGTACGGGGCGTACGTTCCGTCATCTCATCTTAACGGTCCGTAACAGTGCGGCAGTAGGGAGCTTTAGCATCGACGACGGCAACGGCAGCGGAAACGTCGGTTTTCAAATGAATTCCCGTTTTTTCAATCTTTGTCGCGTTTTTTCCAATTTGCTGAAAATGGCAAGTGTGGGCGAATTTCCCTGGAGTTGATTTCTTGAGGACCGCACTCAAGTTTAGAGAGAGAGAAAGAGATTCGTCGTCGCTTGTTTACGTCCTCCATACAACTTGCAATTAGACATTTTCACGTCGTAGTCGTGCAAGGACGGTAAAGAAATGTACAAAAAAGCGTGATGCACGTGCAAAGTTGTTTGTTTTGCGTAATAAACCTATTGCTTTTTTGACGTCCTGGTTGCCGTCGCCGTCGTCGTTGCTAAAGCTCCCTAGTATTGGACATGACTGGAGGCGACTAAGCAACCAAGCCTTCCGCCTTTATATTCTCCTCCCGGCTTCGTCGCTTTCTAGCTCTTCCCTCCATTGCTCTTCCCAAACAAAACCGCCAGCTACACAGGCTAATCAAACCCTCCCCATGCTAACTACAATTAAATCAGATTTTCCTCATTAACTGTCCTTCAGGTCAGGGAAGGTTAGATGGAGCCTTCTGTGACTACACACTGGATGACAAACTCAAATTCCTGCAAAAAATCCATGATGCTGGTGTGCGCAACATTGAGATGGAGAGTGCTTCCTTTGCGGCGATGTGTAATCGCGCAAATGTGTCGGCTGCCGTCAACACACAGTGAGAAAACCTGGCTAATTTTCCGCTAGTCCATTGAGATTGGTTTCTCGTCGTGCTCCTATACGTTTACTCTGGTCGGTCCGAACATCGGTTCATATATTTCTTCTGGAACCTTGTCTGGTTTGGAGACACGAGCCCCCCGCCCAAAAGAAATCGCCAGAAGGCTGATTGATATCGCTTAAGATCCCAAGCAGTTTAGTTGTACAGTTTCTGGACCAATCTAAAGCAGAGATCGAACTTTCGGCGACTATTGCCGCCCTGATCACTTTGTAACCACGCAGACTCAGAGTGGTTGCGTAACAGGCGCAAAAAAGGACGGGAAGGGAGAGAAAAGCTAGCCTGCGAGCAAGCTCTCTGGGGCGCTCTGGCGCCAGAGCGCCCCGACGAGCTTACTCGCAAGCTAGAGAAAAGCGTGGAACAAAGACGGAGCCCTTTCCTACTCTCTCCAGTACCCTCTCCGTCTTTCCTCCTTTCCTCTTCCCCCTTCAGACGACTTGCTCTAGTCTGGTCCAGAGACTAAAATTTGATTTTTTAAAAATTGTTAATTCCTGGACAGATTTTGTTTGCGCGACACACACAAGGCGACTTGTTGCATGTCTCTTGAAGAGTCGTTTATTGGCGTCCTTTATTCGATTTTCTTGATTCGAGAAGTTCGGGAATAAATTTCATTTTTACGCAGAAGAAAATTTTTTTGTAAAGATAACGTAATCTGGTTGTCCAGTACGGTAACGTACTAGAGAAAACACAGATAGTAATAATTTTGTGCAACGAATAACATGTAGAATTATTTATTAAGGTTTGGTAGTTAAAAGGTTGATAGCGCTATCTACTGGATAAATCTCTATCCATTGGTTAACGCAATGAGTTTCCTACGGCTTTTCCATTGGATAAGGTTATCGTTACTCTAGTCTCCCACGCAGCCGTTTTTTTCTCGTCACGCAACGCTCCTTCTCAGAGAGAGACAGGAGACCCCTTGCGTTACGAGACAAAAACGGCTGCATGTTGTGGGAGGCTAGCGTTATCCATCTTTTAAACAAATGGAGCGGAGCATGGTATTTAATTGAGGACAATTTAAGAGAATATTTTTGTCATTTGAGGGTGTGAATAATGAAATATGTGGCAAATATTTTTCATTCTTGACTGTATTTGTATGTGTAACGGTGGGTAGTCTAAATCGCCCGCTTTGGTAAATGAAAATAAATAAAAGAATAAATAAATAAAACGAGGGTTGGAAAGAGTGACTTATTTTCTCCATGACTTAATGAACAACAATAATTTCTTTTCTCTTGGGAGAAATGACTCGAAAAAGATGGCCTGATACTGTATACTTTCCTCGTATCCAAACGAAACGATTGGTCTTCGCATAAGAAGGACCCTCTATAACATTCCCTTCTCGACCCTGGTGTAACCCTGGTGCTTATATTTCTGATATCGCTCATGCGCCGAAGAGCGTTACGGTCAGGAATGACAAAGAGAATGACAACACTCTCCGTTTGCGCTAGCCTGAGATCATGCCCTCTCCCTATTATCCCTCTATGTCTCTCACGCCTCGTCCGCCCTTGAAAAAAAAAACGCCTGATCGCAGGTTACGTTTGCGCATGCTTGTAATAGCGCGCATTTATAGCAATCTGTTCTATCCTAGAGCTGGTCTACGCATGACTGCCACGGACAAAAGAGGTGTCAGAAGCATACGTACTGGGGTCGAGTCTGGCTTTATGGGGGAATCTTAGGCCTTTAGCAGCTGGTCATTTACATGGTTCAAAACCGCCATGCTAGAGAGCAAAAGAGTCATTGGGATAATATAAACAAAGGAGATTACCGTATTAACGAGAAAAGCCTTTTCTTTGGCTTGAGCCAGTGCGTTTCTTGCTCTCTAGCAAGGCGGTTTTGTACCACGTGAATGAATAGCTTAAAAGGGCGTACAGAGAGGACAGGTGTGACGTCACGTTACCATGGTAGCAAAACTTCTGGATTTCAACAATATTTCCTGACAGAGATGGCCATTTGCATTGGCGAACGATGGAAGAAAAGTATGCTCTATCAGTGGAGTCATAGACAGGAAATTCATACCTGTCCATTTTTTCTTTTTCTTTTTCCTCCCATGTTTGCAGGACCACAGTTTCTTGAGATCCAGAAATTTCGTTACTATGGCAACGTGACGTAACGACTTCTCTATTGTTTACACACTTGGGGCCACACCACTTGGTCACACGACAATGTTGAATAAAAATTTTATTCATGTTTCTTTTCGCCTTTTTTTTACTCTGTATTGCGCGCGGAAAAACGAAGCAACATATTTACAGCTTAAGCCTGGTTGTCATATGTTGGGAAAATCCCAGGCGATCGGGGATTTAACTTTTTGCCCACCGTGTCAGATTTTGCCGATATATCGGACATTGTCTCGGAGACACCATGTTTATCTGTGATGGGGGAACTGGAGCCCAGCAATTTAGAGGATTGGTAATGAGCGAAATCCATCGCCGACGTCCCCGACGGTACAAATTTGAGTTTTCATATGTCGGGAATAATCGCCGACCATCGCAGAAATCTGGGACGCGTCGGGAAAATAGAAACACTCCCGATTCTCCAGATTAGTCCCCGACCATTTCAGACGATCGGGGATATCAACGATTTCGAGTTTTCATTAGTCGGCAAAATCTTGGACGGTCGGGAAACAATATATAAAATCCCCGACAGTCTTTCATTTTCCCGACATATGAAAACCAGTCTTAATGATGGTTAACAAAGTCCCATGAAAACACTTCAAATAATCAATTTGAACTAACTATTTCATAGATAGTTACGAAAAACAAATAAGGAAAAGTCCACTCCTTTTAACGTCTAATTTGAAAAGAGGTTTTTTTTGCTACGCTGAGAGTCAATCCCGTAAGTTACCTAGATTTGTTAATAATAGTGAAATTCTTGGAACAAAAGAAAATCGAAGTACAAGGGCAGCATTCTTCTGTTGATTTTTACCATGAAAATAGCATTTTTCGGGAGCAGAATCTCACTCATTTGTGGCAGAATACATTTACTTCAATGAAATAATCCTCTCTTAACAACATCCCACTTTGCGTTTAATTTATCTGTTTTACGCGTTTATTTTTATGTTTTGATTAATTTGGTGGACAGTTCCTAGTGTTAAACGTGTCTAAATTTCGTGACACAGTTACTTTAATACGGGTTCATATTACAGAGGTTGACTGTAGTGATATTTTCAGTGGCTAACTAACACGCATGTACACTCGCTTCGGGAATCAATCCAGTTGTGATGCATCTAGCACCTTCAGGCTGCATTCTGCTCCATTTAATTATTATTATTACTATTTTTCTACTATACTCTCTATACTATTGTACACTGGAAACAGTAACAAAATGGATATGTCCTGTTCGTGTTATCATCTTCAGCATATTTCTGCGGTTTTGTTCCCTGTTTCCTCAGTGTATCTTAAAAAGCACGTCTCACATCTACCAGGTTACGTTTCTTTATGAAGTTGTCGGTTGTTTGATGATTATCGACAGGAAACGGCTCCACTACTGCTGTAGTAAACCTTGATTGTTCAGATTCTTTAGGGCATTGATCACAATCTCTTGCAGATACTGATGTAAAAAATTCAATAAAACCCAACATGAATGTAATAGTTCATGAAAATTCTTGATGTAAATTAATTTTTTAAGATACAGGGCCCCTATGGAGATCAGCCTTAAAGCAGAATGGGCTTCCCTGTGTAAATAAAGTTTTTTTTACTTTACTTTACTTAACAAGGTAAAATGAAAATTGCTAGAATCACTTACCTGAGGTTTACAGTACTCTTCCAGCCAGCTAAAAATACAGGCAGAGAGAGTCTCAAAGTTGGTTACGGTCACAGATGCATTGAAGGACAGGAACTGTGTTTCCATGATCTGTCGGAACTGATGAGAGAGACAAATTTGTTTAAAAAAATAAACATTATGCCATCCTTCAAAAAAAAATCCCATGGTGTGATCATTCAAATGAAATAACTATGGCACGACTTTCATATGTTACTATTTATATAGTACATGTATGTAGCTCTAGATCTAAGTCCCAGTTTAAACGTCACATTTCTCATGTGCCAAATCTAATGCAAATGTGCAAGAACAAGAGATTTTCCTCATTAGTATTAAATTAAGAAATGCGACGCTTGAACCGGGGTTAACTTTTGAGTTCGTAGACAAAATGCTCTGGTGTGACCATTCAAGTTAAACCTCTACAGCAGGACTTTTACATGGTACCATTTGCTTTTCAGCATTTTGCCATAATTGAAATTATTTCTTCTTGAATCATTTTCTACAATCTGGGATCTGAAATGGCTTACATGTAAGTAAATGGACCATAACTCCCTTCAAAGTACTTACCACACTAAATTTGGCCTGGTCTGGAACTTGCTTTTGCCCCTGTGCTGGCTAAATATAGAAAAACAAAAGGTTTAGTGGTCAGAATTTCACACACAAAATGATAGCCTGCGAATACAGTTTGCTCTCAGTGTTCCCCTAGCTGTGGACATTTTGAGAGAGGGAGACGTTACTAAGAAAAACATCTCCTTTTTGGCCTCAAACAGTCCATACGGATGATCAGATGTAATTCTAAATCAATGCTTAACCCTTTAAGCCCCAATATCCACATACAAATTCTCCAAACTGATCTCTATACATTTCTTTAAGGAATAAGTTGAGAGAATTTGGTAGAAGATCAAAGCATTTTCTCTTAGGTGATCATTTTATTAACTCTCATAACTATTTCTCTTGGTAACATATGGATATTGTTAGGAGAAAATTGATCTTGGTCACTATCGGAACTTAAAGGGTTAAGTATTTAATCTGTAAGTCATGGTGTTTGAGATGTACATTATTTTGGGCAAGTTTCTGTTTTCCTTGATGATTATCATAAAAGTTTTAGGTCTGTTGTGAACTTGCTGAGGGCAAAACTGAAATGCCTCTTGTAAAGCAATTTATTATATAAACACTAATGAAATACCAAGTGAGCTTTCGCGCAAAAACTTGATATCTTCACATGTGAAAATATCACCATTGCTATGGCTTCATAATAAACCACACCTTTCAGACCAAAAAACTATTTAAGTAAAATGGTTTGGTATTTCATTGGTGTTTATATAATAAATAGAACATTACATGGTCGCTCGGAGATACGAAATTTCTCTTCTCGTGTTGAAAAAATATTTCACTCATTTGCTGTGCTCACTCGTGAAATATTTTTCAACACTCGAAGAGAAATTTTGTATCTCCATGGGGCCATGTACTATTGTCTATATTTTTATTACACAGTCCTATGAAACAAGGGTTTCTTGGTAGATTCAGCACCATGTACCAAGGTGACCTTTTGTCCAACATTTGTAAACAATAGCTGAGAGAAAATAATAATACTACATCTCAACCAATCAGAGATCTTGATCATGAATAAGTAAACATGAACAGAGAATTGTCCAGTTGTATTTGGAAGTCTACAGTATTCACAGTCTGTTAACAAATGAAAAATGCTTTTTCTCTATATAGTCAGTCAGCCTTGCGCACATTACAGTCTATTACAACAAACCATTTACCTGGTTTTGATGGGCCTTGGCGATTTGCTCATAATTTCTATAAATAAAGAAAACTAAAGTGAGTACCACAGATTAACTCACATAAGTCCAATCCCTTGAATGAGTGTAATTTCATTTATATTAGATATCTTGAGGACAATGATTATCATTGCCACATGAAATGTGTTCCAAGAATGACAACATTATTTACCCATGGTAAAAGAATCATCCCGCAAGAAGGAAAATATTTATTAATTAAAAGAAAAAAATGGTTTGACAGATTCTGTCAACATCAACCTTGTTGTGCAATAATTCCTGTTCCCTAGTGGCTAAAGTTCAAAATTATCCACGTTGGTAACACTAACACTTAAAGTAGTAACCACAAAAGACAATGAAATTGATAGCTTTGAAAGCACAGAATGACTATGCTGTCCTCTGTATTTTACTTTCATGTTAGCCTTAGAAAACAGCCAACATTTCATGAGGCCATCACTGGTTTCCCTGTGAAATTATGGCAGCCTCTCTACCCACTGGAATTTCTGCACTTGTCACTCAGTCATTTGGTGGACAAAACCAGTGGTGGCCTCACAAAATGTTGGCTGTTTTCTCAAGCTATTTTCATGTTGGCTAAAGTATTAAGTTATTATGAAAGGCACAACATATACTGTTGTCTTACGTCTTCATGATTTTTAGGGCCATGACTTCCTTCCTCAGTGCTTCTAACTCTTCTTCCTGTTTTTTCTTCTGCTGGTGCAGGAATATGATGTACTCAATTGCTGCAGGAAAGGACAACAGTAGTAAACATGTATACAGTCACAACGTGCAAAGATTTGAAAGTCATGTTTGATAGCCCAGGGTTGGTGGATTTTGCCATCAGGCTAGTATTTTGTTGTTAACTTGCCCATCAGGAAAGGGAAGCTTTTGAGGGGAATTCACATGGCAGAAATACCACAAGACAAACGTTTAAGTTCTAATAAATTCATGTGGATTGAATGCTGTCTTTCAAGCTGAACTCACTAAAAAATTAATGAAATGCATGTAATAATTAATTTATTACTACATCATTACAATAACAATTGTTAATATCAAGATGAATAAAGCAGGTGATATTACTAAGTTAATGGTGTAATTAATAAATAATAACCTGAAGGGCAAGCTATAGTTCTGATCTGCAGCCTTGTTTGTTTGTAAGTGACTGAGGGTGCACACTGCGTTAAACTATGGACAGGGGTGCAACTGAAAAGCAAAAAAGACTCCCTGATTTTTTAACCAGATTTTTCCTGACCGTTATAACAATTTTCTACTGACATTTTTTCAGTGTGTTTCGCAGAACATGAATTAATATCATCCTTGCTTTCATTTTCAATTTCTTAACATTTCACATGGGATCTGGATCTGTTGAGACATTTGGAGCAATACACATGATTTACATATTCTTATGGAATACTGGTCAGTATGGTACTCATGTAACTCTTAGTGTAACTTTTGAAAATTGGCCAAGAGATCAGTGCAGAAAAGGGGAAATGAAAAGAGACACCTTGTGCTGCTTACATTTCTGTAAAATAATGGCTTTGCTCAACTTCTGCATGGCTGGTGCAGTGTTGGGTTGGTGACAAGTCGGCACAATCGTTTGAAGGTCATCATATCCTTTCTACAAATTAATGAAAGAAAACAAACAATAATTATTGTGGCTACATCTACACTGTAATAATTATTCATGTGAATCAAACTCAAGACTTTCAGAAACTGAGAGAAACTTCTACAGGAAGTCTAGATTTTTAATTTACCTCTTTGAGATGACCCCACCCAGGCCCTTTCATATTCAAAGAAGTACATGTATTACAGTGTTTTCTGGGGCAGTTGTTGTGAAAGTGGTTAAATGTACAAGAATTAGTTATGATAACCACTTACTCTAATGGCATCCCGTCGTTTTTGTTCAGCTGCACTGTGTGCAAAACGCCTCTGTTCTTTAGCAACAAAGACATCATTTTCTTCATCTTGAGAATCCACTAAAACATACATGTACAACAACATAATTTTAGTTTTTTATAACAATATCTAAAAGAAGTTTGTATCTCGCAATAAAAATCTTTCCATTCTCGGGAAGATATGACCATCATAAGTTGTCCAGAAGTGGATGGAGATTTACGACATTGATGAAGAATAGCCTAGCAACACTTATGCATTGTTCCCATTGCACTGCAAAGCTGCAAGCAAAACTTTTTTCAAAGATAACTATGACCAAACTAAGATTTTGGTTGATATACTGAAAATCCTCTCAAATAAGCCCCCCCCCCCCCCCCCCACCCACCCCTCCATTAATTTCCCCCCCCTCCCCCCCCGCACAAATAAAAATAAAAAAAAAAACAAAAACCAGCACAAAAAAAAAAAGAGAGAAAGCCATAAACAACAAAAAAAACAGACGTAAGCAACCCCACAAATATGAAAAAAAAATTTTGCAGGAGTGGGTGGGGATTTATAACATTATGAAAAAAAAAACCCCAAAAACTTTTGTTTTTTTCCCCTTTCCCACCAAACTTGTAAACAAAAATTTTTTTAAAAAAAAAAAAAACCAAACAAAAATTTTTTTTTTTTTACATAAAAACCTCCCAAAACAACCCCCCCCCCCCCCCCCCACAACACCTTCTCATTAATTCCCTTCCCCTTCAAACGTGCTAAATAGAAGATTTACAAAAAAAATACTGCTAGCCAGAAGAAAAACGGAGACTAGCGCAATATTAAATAAAACACTACAGGGTGGACACATGATCTGAACATAGCGGTGCCACATTAGTGGTGACCAAAACAGTCGAAGCCTGAAGCCCTGCCTGTGCCTCACAGACACAACCAAGATGCAAGGATGTGACCTACAATGTACACATTGCTTACCAAACTGTGCTCTTGATGAATCTTCATCAGGGCTAGCTGGCTCAGACTTGACATCTGTGTTTTCACCTAAAACAGAAAAAGAGTAACTCCTCTATGTACATAACAGTCACTTAATACTTTGGACAGTGCTGTAAGATCCTTAGCCTGTGTTGCAGATGTACATGTAATCTAACCCCAGTTAGGCAAGTCTGCGAAGTAGTGCCAATATCTTTGTTACACAGTTGGGGGAACAGAACAAGGATTTTGGTGCTGTTTCACAGATGGACTTAACCATAAGATTAACTCTGTCTCTGGTGAAGGCTATAGGATTCAGTGATTGCAAAATTTCACAATAGTTCAAACAAAATCGAGCAAAGAATCTTTTTTCTCCTTAATACTACAAGACAACTCATAGTTTGTGTGTACACACTTTAAACCACCTCATTCTAAAAACAAAGACTTGAACAACATAACTCACCTGCTTCATAAAGTTGATCACTGCATGAAGGAAGTAAGGAGACAAGCTAAAGACAAGAAAGATAATATGCCTTAAGCTTTAAAGGAAAAGTTCTGAAAGGTTATTACATAACGCCTTATCCCAATGGAGCACAAAAAAGCAAGGTAAGTAATATATAATGTATTACAGTAAAGTAATTAACAAATATGACAACTTTTCTTTAACTATATTCTTGTACATCACAAAAATGACATAATACAAAGTTCAAATTTCAAGTCAAGGCTAACAGACCAAGGAAAATTGTGGTCTATCTGAAAGTTTTATTGTAAAATTTAACGTTTTCAATGCCCATTTCTGGCAAAATTTCTAGGGAACATTGAGAGTGAGAGAAAGAGAAGATAATTGTTATATCATTTCCTCATTCCCATGCTTTATAGCTAGTGAATAGTTGAATCTAGAAGTCATGTCAAAGTCAGTGGAATATGATTGTCCAAGTGAAATTGTCCTGAAAATGACTCTTGTTTACATATTGTCAAAAGACTGAGGGACATTTTGATAACCTGGGCCCAGTTGCTTGAAGGCCGAATAGCGCTAACCCAGGGTTAAGTTTTAATCCGGGTTTCTTTTTTTTCTTGCATAATTTTCTCTATTCCTTTTGGAGCATCCAGTCATCAAATTGTTGACAAAAAGAATTAAAATGAATTTTCCTTTTAAGCTTTCATAACTGAATTCAAATTTCGCTCCAACCCTGGGTTAACTTAACCCTGCTTTGAACAACCCAGCCCTGTGTGCTTGTCAACTTCAGAGACTAAGTTGTTTGTATCTTGTCCATTGATGGTATTAAACTCGTTTTGACATTACCTGGATGATCATATTCCACATGTAGTTAGCCCAGTCCCGCTGAGTCTGGATATAGACGAAGTTCCACTTATTATTATTATTTTTTCATGACAACTGAAAACTCGCATATCCAGCTCAGTATTAATTACTATATTTTTCGTAAACATAAGCACTGTAGCCACATAAACCCCCAAAATAAAACATTGTCTGTCAATTTTAATATAGTAACATACTGATCAAGAGAAGAACATTATTCAAAAATGCGAAGGGAGCTAAAAGCCTGTCATGTTTACATCACATGATGATTACACATGTATGGTTGTAATGAAGCTAAACTAAAGCAAAATAGGAGACAAAAAAAGACATATCATAATATTTTCAGGACAAATAAACAGTAAATTCTTTGCTTACGGTTTATATACGACAGATTGAGATAACCCTGAGTAAAACTGCGATAATTTTTTACCTGATGTTCGCCACCCCAATCTTCTCCTTCGTCCGCCATCTTGAAAGGGATGTTGTCGTTCCGGAAGTCCCGGATTATGAAGGTTCTCAAGGAGTTGTGGGAGGACGAAGCTCCTCCCAGAACATTTCCAGATTTGGTAATAAAAGCGTCTAAGATCTGTTTTGGGAAGTTGTAGTGGGTGTACAGCGTTAGCTTCGATCGTCGTATTAAATTGAAGGGGAACTACGGTGCTTCAGTCTTTCAAGATGAATCCTCCGTGTGCACGCTGTAAGAAAACTGTCTACCCGATGGAAAAACTTAACTGCCTTGACAAGGTGTGTTGGCTCGCTGTGAAGTATGAGATCCATTACATGCGCGTGCAAGTAACGCTCATGTACTTACTGTCCGAATCTAACATATATACGTTTTTGTTATTTTTTCTCAAAGTATTGGCACAAGGGTTGTTTTACTTGCGAGGTTTGCAACATGACTTTAACAATGAAGAATTACAAGGGATACAACAAATTGCCTTACTGCAATCCGTAAGTTTAAGCTTAAATATTTTAAGTCCTGCATATTTATACTCTCTTTCTATTCATCCATGCTTTGTCTATCTGAATGTCGTTATTTATGTTTTTATATATTTTCAATTTTAATCTAACTAATTGCTGAGACCCCTGTGTCTCTAGAAGGTTAGTCTTGCGTGTACTGCGCGCTGACAGCACAAGATCCTTACATTATTTTCTTCCAGTTCCTCGAAATGCATGTTCTCAGTTTCCAGAAACCAAGCAAGATATTTTTCATCCTTTCTTCTTCGGTTAAACCGAAACAGCTCCGGAATCTGTATGCATTGATTTATATTTCTTTTGTATGTCTCTGTTTAGTTAACCTAATAATTCTTCCGAATCGATTCTGCTTGCAGGCACGTTTTAGAATGTTTGAACGCATTCTGGAACGTAATTTAATGACCGCGTGCTAAAATATCTGTCATCCAAATAATTTTTACTCTATTTTATACTGCTGAAAGCAACTCCCAAAACTGAGGTTATGCCATGAATTGGAATCTATAAGTGCACTAAAGCTAATTATGTTGTACGGCGTGTGTACACAAGATATTGCAGCTGTAGTTTTCTTGTGTTACGTACGGGTTTGCTTCAGTCAACCGTCGCACCCTTTACATCTTAGAATTTAACGATCAGCCTGTTACAAAGGTTAAAGGTAATTCTTACGGATCACATAGAAAATACCAAGAAATTCCTATTATCTTTTAGTTACTGTTCCCACTACTATCTCAGCAAAAGTTTAACTTGTCCAACTGTAATGTTTACATAAAGATTGCGAGAAATGCTTTTCATGTCTCACACACGTTAGTGAAATGTTATGTCTGGACCATTCATCGTAAATAAATAAATACTCACTAAACGTGGAATAAGTGTCTGGATGAATAGGCTGTGCGTACATTTATGTATTAAAACTATTTTGTTCATGTCACTTGAGACTTTTTTACTTACAAATTCATAAAATTATGATGTATTGTACAAAACATTTAACAGTTAGCATTTTGTCCTATGTTTAAGTCTTCTGTAAGGAAGTAATGTTTTGGGTTTACCTCGCTGTAAAAGCTGTGAAGTTTTTCTTTGTTTTCTAGCTGTTATTTTCTTTGGCTCTAATGTGTTGACTTCTCAGTGGCTTCCTTGCACTCATTTTTTCACCTCACCCATGAGTTTCACAGGTTTTTACACCAAGGATGAGCCGATGTTTTGTTATCCATGCAGATGAAGCAAAACCCAGGAAGTGGTGGATCCTTAAATCTTTTTCTAGTGGTACCCTGGTTCTCCAGCCTCTCTCTTTTTCCCCCAATACCTTGATGATAATGATGATGTTAATGATAATGATAATAATAATAATTAATAATAATAATAATAATAATAAATAATAATAATAATAATAATAATAATAATAATAATAATAATGATAATATTTCCTTTATTTACCACCGGCAGTATTTATAGCTCTTATTCTAGTGGGGCTGAGCAAATGACACAAACAAATAATTCAAATCAAACATAACAGTATTAAGAATCCCAACTAGCTGGATGCAAGCCAGCTAGCAGTTAGGGACAGTTAGGGATTTCTTTTGGTTTCACTTCAGCCGTGAAAGCCCAATCCAGCTCTTGGTATTCAGAGAGTGAAGTGTGGCATGAAACCAGAGAGTGGGAAAAAATAAGAAAGATAGAGAGGAGTATCACAACTCCCCCATCCCCCTCCCCCTGTGTTTTTCTTTCTCATGGAGTTTGGCACCATCCTCACAATCTGAATGACTGGAACAGGGTTTGAAAATCTATACCAGAGAACCTTCTCACATGCTCTTATATTTCTAACATATGGATATATGTTGCTTATTCCAGGCATTACCCAACTACAAAATTCACAGCAGTGGCTGATACCCCAGAAAATAAAAGGCTGGCAGCGAACACCAAGAAGCAAAGTAATGTAAGTCCTGTTTTTTTTATTTTGCTCTAATTTACTACTATCTGTTCATTATTTCCCTGAGTCCTCTCTGTTCTCATTAATTTGTGCATTGGGCAGGAGAAAACATAATTTCAAAATGGCTGAAGTTCTTGCTCGCGTTTCTGTAACCAGAAAGAGAGGAGGGCTGTCATTTAGATTTCAAGTTGCCAGTTAAATTCAACAAGTAGGCAGTAAATTAAACAGTTAGGGATTTCTTTTGGTTTTATTTTTCTACTATTTTCATATGAAAGTAGCCAGGGTCACTTTCTTGTTAGACAGGTAATCCCCAGCCCCTGGCCCTAATGACAGCTATGAGAGAGGTTGAATAGCCCCCAGCATAACCCCACCCTGGAGTATCCAGGGGTTATTCTTCTGTATCTCCTGACCAATCCAGCATGTTTAAGCTTACCAGAGACTGGAGTGTCCCAGCTGGCTTAGCTCCCTGGCTCATTTAAATATGCAAGGCTTATGACCACAAGTTTTACAAAAGCAAGAAGAGATCACTGTATTTGCAGGCTAGGCTGCACTACAAGAAAAATTGATACGAGGCTAGTGCTCTGAACCTGTGAAGTCCAGGATGTCTAGCATACGTGACTTTTTTTTAAACTAAGTTTTGGCACCAGCAATGTTCTCCTTATCAGGCAGTAACCGATAAAATTTACTGCCTGAAGCAACACTTCTTACCGTCTGCAACTGCTTGAAGGTTTACTAAAATTAGATAGGTAGTGTTAATTAAAAAATACGCAAGTGGCATGATCCGATCAAGGAATGAAAACATACTAAAGTATACACAGCTTTTCTTTTTTTGGAATGAGAACAGTGAATACAGAGTAAAATTGTTGGGATCAAATGTGTTAAATAAATAATTTATTTAAAACATTTGATCCCCATAATTTTACTCTGTATTCACTGAATTAACAACAAGTGTTGTCTAAAGATATCAATGGCCGATTTCTGTAATGAGGGAAAGACGTTTCAAAGAACTCAGCTTCTCCTAGGGTGGGGCCATATCTCTCACTCCACTACCCCCTTCCCCCCAGAAAAGTGCACCTCTGGGGCAGATTTTTTACCTTAGATGCCATGAATGGTCCCTTACCTGCTGTGCTAAAATTTAGGGAGAACACTGACCAGGTGCCACTAGGTGCTGCTAGAGCACAGCCCTAAGCAGGTGGAGAGATTTGTCTTACAGTGTGGACACTCAAACTAGGACACTTGGGAGAAGATTGTCCAATCACAGCGATTTCTGAAAACAGAATATTCTGAAGGTTTTTTTGCAGACGGACCCATAAGATTCAAGGTTCAACTATGCAAGCACTGAACACTTTGAAACCGTTTAACTTACCAGACCTCTCAGGAAACAGCCCTCAAATTTATTAATGTTATTGGTCCATTTTGCTTTCAGAAAACGTGATTGGAAGTCTTCTTCGTACTGTCCCGGTTTGAGTGTCTGCACCATAAGCACTGTTTCTTGGTTTTTTTTTCAACCCATGTTTAATTAAGTTTCACTGTCATGCAGATTGAGTATCATAAGAAATTTGAAGAAGAGAAAGGACACTACACTTCTGTTCCTGACGATCCTGGAACAGTACAAGCACAGAGGAGTAGTAGCATGGCTAGCCAAGTAGCTTATACTCATCACTCATCAGGACAGAGTCGTCTTGGTATACAGCAGCGGTCAGAAGCTGGTGAGCAATGATGTTACATTGAAACACTCTAGACCAGTAGCCTGAATTTCACCTGTCTCCTCGAATCGCACACTTCGGAGAGAGATATCTGAGTCAATGACTCAGTCGCGAGGACTGTCTAGTGATGTCACTACCCCTTTGTTTTAATTCATGCCAAACTTAAAACCTGTGAACAAACTGTAAATTAAGACATCTCCCTAAGGAGTGTTACTACAACTCAAGGAGACAGCTAAGCTAAAAGAAGCCATTAATAATTTTAACAAGTCATTAGTTTTACAAGAAAGTTGTGAGTCTCTGTAACACTGGTCAAGCTTAGGTAAAATTTGTTCTAGCTGGAGAGAGTGATGCCTTTTGGTCTTTTCTTGCCTTTTAGAAGTGAGACAAATCCAGCAACAGCGCCGAATGTCTCAGGAACATCCTTTAGCATATGAACAGCAGCCACCTCGGCAAGTTGCTCCTCCTCCCGAGCCTCAAATTAGTGCCCCACCGCCACCCAGTGGAACGGTTTGTATCCAATCTGTCTCAAACTTAGGGATTTAATTAACTCTCTACGCAAGTACCCAGGAAAGTCCCTAAGAGCCGGCTGCCGGCTGCTGGCTTTTAATTCATTGGCTGAAATAGAACTTACCACCGGTGCAAATTGCTCTGAAGAAAAAAGACGTGAAATTTTCAAGTTGCTGTTGAGTAAAATAGCCTGCTTGACTGATAAAAAAGCCTGCTCATCTTTTCCTTAGCTACATCCCTGGGTACCTGAATTAAGTTGACACCTAGACACTGGGTTAGTTAGAAATCAGCACTGCATTCGTTTTTTTTTTTGCCAGCTTCTCTTCTTGTTGAGGTGTAGTGGCTGAGCAGTTAACACCTGATACTTCAGATCTGTAGGTTAAAGCCTCACATTGACATTGTTGCTGAAGACAGGAAGTTTTCTCCAATATGTTTGTCTTCACCAGATATTATGGGTACCGATGACCTACTGCTGGGAGTAATCATATGTACCTGGGCTATTTCTTTGATTCTATATTAAATTCCCCAGACCCTACGATTGACCAACCCTTGATTTCTCCTTGTAGTAAAACTCCTCAATCAAACATTGGTGTTGATTTTTAAGCAAACTCTCCTCATTAGCACCATAGGAAATGTAAAGGGGAGAGTGTTAAGAATATGCATGATGATATGAGCAAAATCAGCCACCTATTTCAGCAATAAAGCTAACCACTTGAAAATGGTTTGACAACCCTGCATGAAGTTAATCCCCACTTGTAATCTTTTGACTCTTAAAGTTGGACTGCTCTCTAAGACAGGTACTCATTCTTGATGTCAGTGGAGTCATTCTTATAAACTAAAATCCTGTCATCTTTGTACCTTCCAGTTATAATCCAGAGGGGCGGGGTGGGGGAGGGGGGGGCACTGTTCTTCATGATGGGAATCTGGATGAGGTGGCAATTATTTATTTGTACATTCTCAAGTTGAAACACTATTTTTTTTTTACATTCAGAGATACATTGCAATTTACGATTACACAGCTGCTGATGATGACGAGGTCAGCTTCAGTGAAGGAGACATTATAGTAGACGCAACAATTATTGACGAGGGCTGGATGGAAGGACGTGTTCAAAGGTCTGGCCAATATGGAATGTTGCCATCAAATTATGTGGAGAAAATATAATTATTCAAGGGTCGAATTCTACTTTGCCGTTGGACAAAATATGGCTGTGTGACTATGAAACTTAGGGACTGTATGAAATCATCATGGTGGCATTTTGCAGCATACGATCAGAACAGTATTCTGAGTAGTCTTAGGTCTTAACTTATGGTGTATACTAAGTCATGCACTGAACTGATCTTGCAGTGACTCACTGAATGTCCACGTTGTCCAGATAGCACCCTTTGTTAAAGTGAAGTCAACTGAAACTCTTCAGTAATTTTCACTCAGGTGTTATTTTCAGTTTGAAAATTATTGGCCTCATGATTATTGTTGTCCTTGTCATGGTCTTTGTTGTCGGCAGGTCAGGAGTTTCATTGTTAGCTAGTCAGAAGTCTGCTCTTGGCCAAAAGAGTATTAAAGCTAAAGACCTTTTGTCTTTAGTAGTGTGTAATTTATTTATGTCATTGCAAGGTCAATTCAATGCATCTCATTGTCTCAAGTATATATCTTCAATTTTGGTGAAGTTTTCGTGAAATTTAACAAAGCAAATATGTCTTAAAGAATGCTTTGCGCATTACGATACAGTAGTTTTTTATTAGTGCAACTTAATGACCTTTGAAAAGTATATTATTATAAAATATGAAAAGTTAATATTTTGTGGTATCAGTATTTTTGAGAGGAGCCTGTGGACATTGTATCTCACCTGAAAGTGTACCACCATTAGAAGTTAGGATATTATTAAGCAAATGTAATTTTTTTGCCACAAATGTGCTGTTCTTCGATCAAATAAACAAAGAAGTGCTCTCATTTTACTCAGAAATTAATAAGGCAAAAAAAAAAAACCGAGGGAGAAGGTAAAATGAATTTCTTCCACTCTTTTGATAATTTTAGCTTTGCTAAATTTTAAGAAAAGTAGAAGTGTTAACCAGGGTTCATACATTGTATTATATTCATGTGAAATAAGCAGAAATGTAGCATTTTAATATTTTCTTGCAGGGCCTTGGTTAAAAGGTATGAAATTCAATGGGTTTAACCCATTGAATTTCCTACCTTGTCCGTAGTATAAACCCTGGTTTACATATTGTACTTAATCCAGCTAGATTGCAGAAGCTAGGGAAAATTGTTGTGGTATTTTAATGTTAATGCAGTTGAGTCATCTACATCTACATCTACATTTATTAATTGACAATGCTTTCGCATCAAGTCATCTGTTGCTTAAGAGCTGTTTTTGTTAACCCTTCACCCTTAAACCCGTCCATTGACCAACATAAAATTTCTCCTTGGTCATGAGAAGAAAGGAAATGATCAGTAAGTGAAAAGTTTTGATTGTTGAATAAATTCTCCTCAGTGGTAACTTGAGAAATGTAATAGAGCAGTATGGAGATTATACATGCTGATATTAGGATTTCAAAAGGTTAGACCTTTCCAGTGATTTCTCTCTGATAGTGTCTGCTTAATTCTTCAAACAAAATAAAAAAAATATATGTATAAAATATAACACTGTGTATTTGAGGGTAAGTAACACTTGACAGTTCCATAGAACAGGCAAACTCTCTGGCTCTGGATTAATATTATCGTCCCTGGTCAAATTGGAATTTGATGTTAAATGTTTTTAATGGTCCCAATAGGATATGTTGGATTTCCACAATATGTAAGGATTTGAAATGTAGCTCAAAATTATTACTGTAAGTCGTCTATTAAGCCCCGCGGGGAGGGGGGGGGGGCAATTTATTTTAAGCCTTTGGGGGGGGGGTTATTTGGGGGTGGGGGTTTTTTATTTTTGAAAAAGTTGATGGATTAGTTTCTCCAAA